ACGTATTGACTGCCTTCCAAGTATGCCGCTCGCAGTTGTTGAAACATCGGTGTGAGGAGGGTCGCAATTTGAGCATTTGAGTAGGGCTTTTATAGGAATGGCAGGCTGGTTTGCGAAGTTTTTTGTGTCATCATTAGTGTGCATGGCGGTCCAGGATAATCACGATTGGATAGGTGAGTCAGCTATTTGATCCGGCTTGGGAAGTGCTGAGTAAGCCTGAGTTGAGGCCATGTCATCATGATCATGGCTGATTAGAGAGCGAACGTCTCTTTGTTCTCATGCACCACTTCATTCTCGTCTCAAAATTAAATCAAAGAGGTGGGATTCTTTCTTGTATTGAGTATAGACAAATCACTTGTGATTCTACGCTGGTGTAAGCAACGATGGATAATGTAATGCGTCGATAAACCGAGGATTGGTTTCCCACCACCTAAGACGGAAAAATTTCAGTTTCATGCCATACATGAGGAGTAGACTTGCATTCGGATGGCCTTTATACACAGTTCTTCACCAACCACATGGGGGTGTACAATACTGTCGCCTTGAAAACATATTGCGAGGACGTCGCCATGGATTGCGTTGTTCTGAGGTTGGGCGCTATCCATTCTGTTGTAATTCGGGGAAAGCAGAAGATTTTGACGAAGCCCGGGTTGGGTTGTCTGCAAGAACAGAGCTAGATGAATGTCGCTTGATACATAGATTTCGCTGCGCGTTCAGACTGGCCATGGTGATAGAACCGCCACCGATCATTGGCGACGAGAATAGAATGAGCCGGTAAGCGGATGGGAGCTGGGCTTGAATCCAAGCATACACGCAAAGGTCGTCGATTGATCGGTAAATGGTGGTGTGATGGTCCAGAGGAACCGGTACGACCAAGGGGGCGGGGCATGACGTTGGGAAAAGCAACCCTGGAAAAGAATGCGCAAACGCCTGCCAAAAGTTTTTAGACTGGAGAGTCAGATTTGAAGACCTTACCGGATGGATCCTATTGATGGCTTCGATTTTGCGCATAACTGCTGTGTACTTGGGGTTGGCTTCTTCGACTTCCTCAGTTGGTCCAGGAACGAAAAAATCGCGAGGTTGCAAGTACAATGCACACTTGTAGTTGAGGCAAATACCCCAAGACCAGTAAAATGCGTAATAGCCCAGTAGAAAACCTTGTCGCGTGTTCGCCCCACATTATCGGCCCGCTTTGACCAGGAAATCGTCAAGATACCACGCGCCGCTCGTAATCTGCGGATCAAGCCTGGGCATTCTTGTCGCAAAACAAGCTACCCCAGACGGGCGAGCAGTGATATGGCGATATCGAATGTCACGGTTAATTAATGTCGAGGGGTTCACGGGACGGTCTTGGTCAGAATATCGCAGTACTCCTCCATGACGTCGCACAGTGATTCGATTGAGGAAGTGTTTCGGGTAGACCAGTATCAAAGCTGAAGGTGTGAGTAATCCTGCCTGGAGCGAATGTTCCACTTCCAGCATTAAGCGTGCAGGTACCGTTTCTACAGACTGCGTCACAGTGATAACGTGGCCGTCGAGTTTGGAGATGAAATAGATGGTTCTGGCCACCCAGTGTGATTTTCGGGGATAGGAAAGCAACGGACTGGCAGCGGGATAAGGCAGACAACGCGGCAGCCTTGAAGCAACAGTGCGAGCCCTCCATAAACGACCCGTCAAAGAAATTGATAAACAAATCGAGGCCACCGCTTCCAATGAGCACGTTCAAGTCGTTTGGTCGCCAGCGAGGGTTTGGTTCAGTCACCCACAAAAGGGAAGAACCAGTTAGCCCGCCATTGGCTGTTCGCAAGATTTGCCAGAAGCGATCACGATCTCGCGGAAGAATGTGGAAGTAAGTGAGAAGAACGTCGATCCGGTGACGCAGCACAAAGTGAGCGAGGAACCGTGTTCGTCGACAAACCGCGGTGAGAACCAAAAAAGTCGTGAGACAAACTTGGTTGACGATCAAAAGTTGACAGTCCAAGTCAAGTTGGAACATATGAGAGGGGAGGATTGTTTCTCACTAACGACCTACAGTCTTTATATACTGATTACAATACTTGATGACAAACCCCTCGAAAACGACAAAGTTCGTTTTCACAAGAGCCGTACAGCCTCCAAAACACCCTGGCTGACTGACCGAAATTGATGGTTTCGTCATGCGCTTTGAAGTGGAATTGACCAAAACCATTCAACCCACTGACTAAACGCCATGCACGAGGGCACTCCTTCCCACAGGGTCGTCGGAGGTGTGCACTGTCAGTGAGTAGTTTGATATGCGCTCCCATGCTGATTTGATTCAGAATCTGGTTGGCCATGATGAATTGGAACGAAATGGCTCCGGTGGTCCAGCCCGGAAGAGCTTTTCGTTCGATAGTTAAACGAGGGTATGCTGAATACAGCGTAACAGCGTCATGAAGTTCATTTGACAAGTGGATTCGCTAGCAAAGACAGATCGCAATAGGCATCTTGAAGTCGCGCTTGAAATAGTAATAACCATCCCCTGTATTTGATGAGCTGGTATCACTTTATGGAGGAGCCTTACTTCACGACGAAAGATAGTATGCGCACGTAAATGCCCGCGAAGTCTTATAGGTATCGTGTCGCTGAAATCCCTACTGTTGTTGTCAGATTTCGAGGTGTGTAACAGTGACATTTACCATTTGAACCCCATCGTTTCCAACAAAAATCGGTACCATTTCTGAGCCTCCACATCGGAAACTACCAGATTAAGATTATCGATTCGGAGTTTGGAGTCTTCGGCGAAAGAGAGAGTCATAACGGCCGATGGTATGGACCCCACAACTATCGTGTTGGTGGATTCGAGGAGCTCGAGTAGGAGGTAGGTAGCACTTTTGCGTTGAGAAATGGAGGAACTGGCACCCAAAAGGATCCGACCGATTCTCCAAGCGATTCTATTGGAGATCATGCTCATGCTCTGGGCAAGGCGACGGACTGTGGTGCATGTGTGAGATAGGTGGACTACCTCCCTCCAGGTCGAGTGACGAAGGACAAGACAAAAGGCTTCAAGGGAAGTGAGTGGGGAATGTTCGGTTGGCATTGTGCAGACAAACAACAACTACACAGGATTTTATACTCCAAGCGCAAAGTACCTTGACGAATTACGACCTAATAAGCCCTCTTGAATTAAACTGTCGATGAATAATAGTGAGTGTGGGTGGTGACAAACCAAATCGAAAGCGCTCACCATCGGACAATCGCGTCAGCAGTATACAAATCGCGGTCAGTCATATCTGAAACACCCATCTCATATTTGGATTTACGACCATGATGCGAAGAGCTGCGAGAAACGAGAATGTTGCCGCCCATGGCGCGAGAGAGAAGTTGAGGTCGAAACCATGCTATGGACCATAGCGTTGATGGGTTGACTTTTACTGGTAGTTTTGTGATCCGCAACGGTCTGTGGAGCGGCAAAGACCGTATAAGAGCGTTTCAGCGGCTGCGGGTCATCGAGAGGCCAATGGTGGACAGTTATTGCCTGCTCGTCTTGGTCATAAGAGGATGCATCACCGCTTGTCCCGAGACCAATCCACCGCGATGATGTCCAGGTCATACGGGCTAGCTGCAGCTCGAGCACCATAATGACAGGGAACCTCTACGAACGTAGAGGTAGTGCCGGAGGTGGGGTAAAGCAAACAAGTGTAAGTCGGATGGTCCTGATAAAAAGAGTGAGTGTCAATGGCTGGTAAGCACTAAAGGCAAAAAGAACCTCAGGAAGACGTTCTATCTCCGCCGACACAGATTCCTGTATCGCTTGGGTGAACGAGGACACGGCAGTGGGTTCAAGAATGTCCATTGAATGTGGGTCGGTCAAAAGCTGGTCACGGTCACGTCTGCGTTACTGCTGACTCATTAGTCATGTGATGTTGAAGCTCGTTGACTTGGACCAATTCCTTTCGAGAGAAAGGCAATAAAACACGGGCTGCTCTGGTTTTCTTCTTCTTATGAGTTACAACTAGTACTGACTCTACTCAATATTCAGACGTAAGACCCGACTTTTCTGAATGAAGGGTAAATCGCGAAGGGCCTCTTCAAGGCCTCTTCCAGTTCAATACTGGTCACCAACAGACTGAATGTGTATATGTGTGGGAGTATCAAGCGCGGGGAAATACTCGAAGGTGAAGGACAGGTATGTCGCGCGACTCGATGGCTGGGAAATGTTTGCTGACTTGTTCTGAGTAAATTCGACCCACAAAACCTTTACCTGTGTATGTAACGCGTATTGCGAATTGACCAGGGACTTCCATTTCAAGCCGATGACTGAGATCATGAGCACTAACGCGTCCACATCGCTTACAAGACGATTGACAAAGCGAGCGATTTCGAAAAAAGCATTTAAACACGGGGAGGGGAACTTCATATCTCATGTCCTATCGGAAGTACGCGTGTTTTATTGTCGTTGTGCATCCATTGACCCTTTTCAGTCCTCGAAGACGCGTTGCAAAACCACACAATTCCCCAAATAATTGGTGTACTCGAGGCAATACAACCGGCACCAAAAAAACGCGCGTCGCAAACGCGAGCAACTGCTCCGATTTGCTTCAAATCTTTCAACGGAACAAATTCACCAAATTATAGAGTCAGCGTCGACGTGCCTAGGTAGCAAGCGAGGCCCGAGAAATGATCTATCTTCTCGACCACGCAAACGACGAAAAGTTGCTGAAATTATCCAGCCCACTCAGAACATAAATCAAGGCGACCTTCAAGCATTGATCGAGGGACCCTTTCTTCAGCCAGTAAGCGACAATGTCCTGCACGATTGTATTGCACGGTAGGGCACTTCTTGTTCATTGGCAATTCACTGACAATACTTGAGGGCCATTGAGCGGACTGGGAATGCAGCACTGAAGAAGGGGGTCTGTCTCGTCTGTGCTAGAAGATTATTTCTTCAGGAATTGGTCGTGTGCGAACCAGACGACATTCCCAACCCTACTTATTTGGCGCCAACACATCCACATAGTGCCCATGTTCTTTATAGAGGCATGCTCCTTCACCAACCGGCACTGGGTCAGGCTCCTCCTCATTTCTTATGTCTCAAATGTCGCGCCAAACTTGTTCTTCGATTGCGCCCTCCTTTGTCCCTCGCAAACAACATGTGGATTGGCCAAGTTCCATCTGTGTTGTCCATTCTTAACCTGCCTGAACTACTACTTGTTGGACTTTATTTTCCGGTGGCTTTCGTCGTCAAACTTTTCCCAAAGAAGGCCGGAAGCGATGCCTGGGACGTCGACACCATGAAAACTGGAATGCGAGGCAATGTCTCGACCTACAGACTGAATCCTACCCTCATCGAGGAAATGGTTACCGGCAACCTAATGCCTCGTCCTATCGGCATTTTGGCTGCGACAATTTCTGTCACGTTCGTCGGGGCAAAGAATGTACCTTTGTTTGTCCTTCCGAAGATGTTCGAGGTACAGCGAAGAAGGGTTCACGACGCATTAGTGTGGCTTCAAGCCAACAACCCGTTATATGCCAACATCGAAATTTCCTCGGAACGCCTTGCAGAACTCCCCGAACACGGCGTACCAGAGGAGCTAACAACAACAGCTCGATATACAGAAGATGCTTCGGTCATAGCTCGTGAACATGGTGGTTATGTGCCATCCGATGCGGATGATGGCGCAGATACTCAAGTCAATGAAGCAGAAGAGCGCGACTTCGGCCAGCGACACGGTAGGTCGTCCTCATGCAGCATCTGCCATTTCACTCATTTCTTTCCCATTGATTTATTGCCGGTGGATAGTCTAGACAATGAAAATCATGATGACCAAGGAAAATATGGTAAGCGAACTTCAGCGGCCTGTCTTCCCCATACTAACACAATGGCTAGAATGCGATGTTATTCCTCTCCAGCCTCATGGGGCTATAGATATATCTGCTGATTCCATTAATAGTGAGGAGTTATTTGCTGCGGCAACGAAAAACCTAGCACCGGAAGAGACTCGCAAGTATGCAGTCCGCCCTGGCAATCAATTTGTGAACGAATATCCACGAGAGGTCAATGGTCAGCGAACAACTGGTGGACCATTGGACGCCAATCATCTTCTTGGTACATTCCCCCTCCTCTTTCCATATGGCCTCGGCGGGATTGAAGTCGATCGCCAGGACCAAGTGTCGTACGAGGAACATGTTCGATGGGCACTGCAATATGACGACGGGCGCTTTCGAAAGGACTTGTATTTTATGTTTCAAGCCTTCGGGGTTCAAGTTAAACGAGAGGTCTGTCGTTCAGCATGCCTACAGCTGGATTTCAAGACCTTTTTTCAAAACCAAGATGCCTTCCAACGACTCACCGCAGAAGACTTTTTGAAAGCAAGCAGGGAAGAAGAACGCAAACAACCAATCAGCAATCCCACCATCTTGACCTTTCGCAAACATATTACAGCTGTTCGTGCACGGGTTACAGGTACCGATGAGAGCCGAATCAGCATTCGTGCTCAAGTATGGGGGATGTCTTTGCGGTTTAATCCTCCAACCATCTGGGCAACCTTCAATCTTTCCGACACTAGCGATCCCATTGCGCAAGTCCTGGCTGGGGTAGAAATCGATCTCGATAACTTCATGGCGACGGCAGGCCCAGACAGCAACTCTTCGTCTCAAAACCATTGCGGGTGATCCCTTCGCTTCCGCTGAATTTTTCCACTTATTTATTCGAGTCATTCTGGAGGAGGTTTTTGGTATCAAGGTTAATCCACACGGTGGAATCGAACGCCGCTGTGGCATAGTAGGCTACGTCCAACGGTTACATCGGCACTGTGGAGGCACAAGCTCGCGGCTCCCTGCATTTTCATGTCCTTTTTTTGGCTCCGTGGTGCACCAACCGCCCAAATGATGAAAGAGGCTCTGTTATCGGAACAATTTCGAGCAAAAATGCGCGCGTTCATATCGAGGAACATGCGCGCACATATCGCTGGAACCACGGGAGACACGCTGATGAAGCTGCCAGCCAAGAAAAATCTCGCATTTTCTCGGCCCGAAGATCCACGAAAGCCAAATTACCCGGCTCGGGCCGCTGCTGCCGAAGCCCGTCTTGCACGTGTGGTGCAAGTTCATGACTGTAAGCTGGAAACTTGTCTCAAAGCGAAAAATGGTCGTTTTGAGTGCAAACGAAGAGCACCATGGCGGACCGCCGAAGACGATTGGGTCACAGAGACGGGAGACTGGGGGCCAAAGCGATTGTATCGCTTCATCAACGCCTGGAATCCAACACTACTGCAAATCACGAGGGCCAACCACGACATGAAACTAATCACCAATGGAGCTGAAACCAAAGACATCACCTTCTACATCACACTGTATATCGCAAAGCGACAAATCCAAGCAGCAAATGCATCCGCGTTGATGGCCAAAGCCATCCAATTCCAGGAAAAACTTAGCGCGAGACAAACGCGCAACTTGGACAAGAACAAACGGCTGGTTCAAGCGTGTGCTAATGTACTCAACCGTCAACAAGAATTTAGCGGACCGGAGGTTGTGGGATATTTGATGGGTTGGGGAGATCGATATATCTCTCATACCTATATTCGGATTTATTGGGACCGCATGACAGCGCAACTGCGTCAGGTATTTCCATATCTTATGGTTGCTTCGTAGGTGTTGTCTTTGACCTGAAACTTAGCACTGATTGCACTCATTTTACAGCGAAAACGATAGGTTACTCTCCACAATGACTTCGGAAATGACAGAGGACGAACCGGTATGTCATCTGTCGTTCTGAAGAACGATTCTAATCCAGTGAACAGAATGAAAAATCTACATTAACACGCAACTCAGACGGAACATTCATTCTAAAGGATCAACTCAAAGAGTACACGGACCGTGGCGACCAGTTGGAAAACATGAATCTTTACGACTATTTCACTCTCACATACGATGGCAAGATGCTCAACACACCACGCTCCAAGACAGCGAATACAGAAGCTCCGAACGCTCTACTAGAACCTGCAGCAGACACCGACGCTCCACCAGAATCCGCGCCTCCTGCAGCGACACAGCAAGAAGATGCAATGGACATTGACGATATCCCAGTAGCAACAGAACCGCCACCCACCAGCCGGAACAGGGGCGGAAGACCCCCTAGCATTCGCGTACCCTATCGTGAAGGAGCAAAGCGAAAGGGTCATTGTCGCATCTTCCGAGCAAAAAGCCAGGAAGTCAATTTACATTTCATGGGACAATGGTTTGCACGTAAAAGTGTTGGGGTGGCCGGTGAGTATTACAGTGCGCAAATGCTGATGCTTTTGAAGCCGTGGCGTTCATTACGAGACTTGCCAGGCGGAGAACCTACTTTCACCGCTGCGTTTGAAAAGTTTGCGCTCAACGCGACAGCGGAGCAACACCAGATCCTAATCAATATCCAGTATTTCTACGAATGCTCGGATCACGCTGCTCGTCGCCAGAAGGATAGGTCGGGGTCTGCAAACAATGAGGGTTCGAGGACATCAGAACCCGTCGTCCAGTCAGCAAATAATCAAGGTGTTGCTTCAACAGTTTTCGTGGCACAAGAACCAACCGAGGCTGAGATACAATGTGCTCGGCAGGCACAACAAGGACCTCGGGAACGTTTATATGGCCAGCAAGCCCTTGATGTCGCCCTGCGAAAAGGTATATTTTCCGATGAGTATACGCGAGTTACTCCTCAACCTCACGTTCGTCAAGCAACACTAGCAGACATGTCAACATACGCACAATGGGCCAAAACAGTAGCTGCATATGTCAAGAGCGACGCGTTTACACCGCATGTACCGTTGACTATGGGCGACACAAACATCATGCCGCTTTCAGGCTCTATGGACATCGACCCTCCAGTTTCTGGTAGTGATCAAGGACGCAACTTGGGCACAATCACGGACATAACTTCAGATTCCCGGGAGACAATTGGGCCCGAGTTAAACCAAGAACAACGACGAGCTCACAACATTGTCGCGGACCACCTTCGCAGACTCTGGCTGGCAGAAAGCCCGAACAGTTGCTGATGATCATCCGTGGAGAAGGAGGGACGGGGAAAACAGTTGCTCTTGGTGCGATTGCTAGAACCTTTGACCAACTTCATGCTCGGGAAATGCTAGCCCTGACAGCCACAACAGGGGTTGCGGCGAGCATGTTTGGGGGACAAACCGTTCACAGCTGGGCTGGTATTGGTTTCGGCGACACGAAACCTCGAGGATCAGATGCGACACAAGCGAAACGCCAAAGAAACATTGGCCCCACCAAGTATCTTGTCATCGACGAGTTTTCAATGCTCACGAAAAAAATTCTAGTCCTTCTCTCACAGATCATGGGTGTTATAAAGCAAGATAGAAAAGAGGCACTCCCATCGGACGCGTTTGGCCTAGTTAACGTGATATTGGTCGGAGATCTTCACCAATTTCCTCCGGTTGGCAGCATTCAGCAAGCTTTGTTCTACGGTGACTCACAAGTCTGCAGCGAAGGCCTATTACTCTATCGCCAGTTTACAACCGTGGTCACTCTGACTGAGCAGCGACGAATCACAGATCCTGGCTGGATGGCGCTGCTCAAGCGACTGCGGTCGGGGGCATGCACTGGCGAAGATATGGACTTATTGGAAACTCTGCTCATCGATAGTCCGAAGAGCACCCCAGTGGACTGGAAATCCCCCCCATGGGACAAGGCATATCTGGTTACTCCACGACACAGTGCAAGAACGCTGTGGAACACCCAATCCCTGAGAAAACATACAGCGCAAACAGGGCATCGTGTATATCGCTCACCAAGCGAAGATCGAGTAAGCAAAGGTGGGGGTCAGCTAAACGCTTGGCAAAGGCTAGCCGTGGCTAGTATCAGTACTAAGAAATCCAATCGTTTGCCGGACGAACTCCAAATTGCCATTGGTATGGAAGCAATGGTACTCTGGAATATCTCTACTGAAGCAGAGTTAGCAAACGGCACTGGAGGGACCGTGAAAGATATCGTCCTCGACTATCGAGAGCCTCTGCCGCTCCACGAAGATCCAACAACAGGTGATACCGTCTTGAAGTACCCGCCAGCGGTCGTTTTATTCAAGCCTCATCATAGCACTTTCCCCCCTTCAAGGCCTTGAAACAGGTGTGATACCCATTGTACCATCGGTGGCGAAATTTGAAGTGATCACTCCACAAGAACCCAGTACAATCGCTACGACGGCAATACGCCATGACACCAGGCTACTCCTTTACGGACTATAAAGCACAAGGTCAAACTATAGAACACGTCGTCATTGACTTGGCGCCACCACCTTCAGGGAAATTAACGGCCTTCAATGCGTATGTCGCTCTTTCAAGAAGCCATGGCCGAGATAACATCCGGATTTTAAGAGAGTTTGATGTGAAATTATTCACAGTTCACCCTTCGCTGCAACTTCGGGACGAGGACGCGAGATTAGATGCCTGCACGATTGCAACGCAAACTCGTTATCAGAGATTGTAGATGAACATAAAAAATTAATTTTAGACTGACCACGTGCCAATGACTCCTTTCTCTCTTGTATGATCACTCGCTTCCCTACTTCTTCCCTAAGGCTAGAAACAAATTATTGCTGGATTCCAGGTCCCAGTTGTGAGAGAAATGATACGAGAAATGGAAAACTATACGGTGACGCGGCAAAGCAGTACGTCCGCGAAAATCTATTTCTTCCTATGCCTTCAACTGCAACACGGTAGATACACGTTCTATGGTCCAATCCGACCGGTTGACGAGTCCGAGGGGCCCAAATTCAGCACACACCCACACGCTTGGCAATATCGGTGGACGCAACTCCAATTCAACCTAGGAAAGCTCTCCAGGGGCCAATGGATTCTTCTTGAAGACCACGAATTTTTCTTGGCCGAATCAAGTGAAGGAATATTGCAAAGATTCAAGCTATCCGCTCATTGCGCCATCGAAGACTGCGTCTCTCTAATCGGTTTAAGCCCACCACAAACAATGTTGAATCGGTGGCAACAGTCGAACTCTCTCTTACTTGGCAGCATTGTAACACACCTACCTGGCATGGAATTGTCCCCAGGTACACGTGTTGGCTTCACCTCCAACCACCCATGTTCTCCAAACGGGGGTTATATCATCGACTTTCCAGATACCTTGACTGCACGCGTGCGGGTCTTCAGCCAAGGGGGAATCATCAACAGCGAATCCGCCGCTCTAGTACAAGAACTCCTCAAACCGTGGCATCCGAACGATGTAGTGTCTGTGCCGCTACGATGCATCCAACGTCATCTTTTTGCGCACGATCTTCAACCAATCGAAGGAGAAAGGGTCGAGGTCAGAGGTATGGGGACAGCATACGTCGATAGCATGCGGAGTGAAATGGGTGCGGTAACAGTCCGGGTAAAAAAAGCAGAACGACGATTTTTTGGACGTGGACATAGCGTCCCTTCGTCGGCACTTCATCCTTGGTGATCAAATCATCATTATCCGAGGCGCCTACCAAGACAAACGAGGAACAATTATACGCAGAATCTTTCTCAGCCCTAACCTCAAAATTGTTGGAGCGTTGGAGGTGAAAATGGTGAGTAAGACAACGAAATCATCGAAAGCAACTACATAAAGTTGACGATCAGACAACACCAAGTAATGGGCAAGAAACGGTGCCATTCACTGAATATCTTAGTGGGAACTTCGCGCTGATATCTCCAAGATCCAGGTTCTGTGCGTCGACGTCAGAATCGACACCGGTTCACGCGAAAGCCGTTCTCAAATAATTCCATCTTATCGCCCTAGTCCAGAATGGCTATGCAGACGAGAACTTGTCTCCCGACGACTTGACGTCAAATTTCATCAGTCCAATGCCGCCACCCAAACCGGAGTCGAGGCCATCCAAGCAGGGAACTGTGGCTACATAGAGCTGCAAAGAATGGTTTATCCTAACCAGCTATTCGAGCCTCTGCTAGTGCACACGGACTTTGGGGAGAAGTGTTTCATACCGCCCAGCAAACTTTATCCGTTGGACGCATATATGGATCCGAAGACGAAGGCGATTTGCAGCATTGGATTAGTTGCGGTTCGTGTCGTCGTCATCGGGCCCGATATCTATGGAGAAACGAACAATATAGGTAAATACGCTTACGTTATTCCTGACGGTTGTGGAGGAGAACCCGTCAATGTAAAGATGGAAAGGAGTGAGGGCAATAGCTTTGTCGAAAGAACATTTCCAATAGGAAGTCTCTGTCGATCATTGAACTCTGACGGCTTGATAACACGAGCAACTCGATTTTACTAATTGATAATTACGCTACATTACATTACACAACTAGATGACAAAGTACAGAGGAGGCGGTGTATGTTGCTCCGAGGTTTCTACGAAGGTTTTGGGTTTTTGGTCAGTGTCTTCGGGTTAGTTTGTCTTTGTTTGTCTGATCGACATTACATCATCATGTACAGTAGTCACCGGGCAGGGACCTTGCAAGCAAGGTGAAGAGCTTATGTCACGCCGTCGCCGATGCCGACACCTCGTGTCAGCTCTTGCGTCGTTCTTCCTTCTTCCTCCCACAACCACAATGAAAGCAGTCTCTTGGTCTCTGAATCATGCGCAGTACCTCCAGCTCACGAATTATTGTCTCTGCCAGCCCTACCAACACTTTTGCTCATGTAGGTCTAAACACTGGAAGATCTGGCGCGTTGGCAACTGAAGATTCAATGAACGAAGCCAAAGGTGATTTTCCCTCAACCACTGGCTATCTTGTGCATTGGCTTTGAGCGGCGCATTTGCTTCATTATGCGTGAATTGTGTGTCACGATGCCCGATCGTAGGTCACATATTTTTGGCGGCATCCACTTTTTTTTGGCCCTCCCTCTTGTTACAACGTCGCTATTGAGAGGCTCGGGGGAATCTCAAAACTTCTCAGTATTCATGTCTCAAGCTATGACATTGATGAAGAATCTGCGGCTTTCGACTTGAATGCGTGGATGGGCAAAAAATGGCCCGACAATCCCCCCGATGAGCTTAAGGCTGCCCGAATGGAACTTATTGACCTTCCCAAAGGACTCGCATTCCCTCTTTTCCCCATCCCCCCCCCATCTTCCCGCTGCTCAATTCACCACACTCAATTTACCATATGCTTCGCGCTCATCGGACATCGTCACTGGCTCGGTAGAAAGCTGGTTCAGCTTTGACGCTCCCCGAACTCCCATTGATGCCATCTTCCAACGCTCCCTTCCCTCGCGAGACATCATACAGGCGCTACTTAATGGGTTGGGGCAATTTTGGCTGGACGGATACCAGTCTGTTGTTGACCCACGATGCAACGATGGCCGCGACCGTTTTCCTCTTTGGGTCCTCAAGTTATGGCTCGAATTGGGTACCGTGGGCGAGACGCAGAAATCGTGGCACTCGGCATTCAACTTTTTGCGCCGCCAAGCTGCCCTTAAAGCCCCTGATCCCACTCGCAAGGCAGCGGAAGAGATGTTGGAGCTTCTCGAGAGAGTTGGTTGGAATGAGCCTATTGGGACGACAGGACTACCTGCAACATGTCTCATTCGTTTCCTCTCAAAGGCATGGCTCTCCGAGGAACAAATCTCGCTTCAAGTCTATTACATGCATGAGCGACTGCAAACACAAAAGCCGAAAACCCGCAATCGTGTCGCATTTGCACCTCTGCTCTTCACCAACAAGCTTGTCCAAACCACAATTCAGGCCATGTACGACTACGAGCATGTCAAAGACAGTGTTATGCGCAAGATCGAGGAACAAGTCTACAAGGAAGATATCGACATTCTTTATATGCCAGCTCATGTCCAAAACAACCACTGGATTATCATGGCAGCTAATTTCAAGGACGGCACTGTTTCCTTTGGTGTGTTGCCTCTTCCATGCTCGCGCTCATAACTTAAGATATATAGGCGACTCCCTTTTTGACAGCCCATACCAAACTTATCCACGCAAGCTGGTCCAGAAGCTGCAGCTATGGTCGAAGAAACGATTTGCTGTCCCTCTGAATGATATCGGGAACACACTCCCAATTGGCCAACAGACAGACACGATGAACTGTGGAGTTTGTTGGGCAGATGCTGCCATGACTGCAGTATGGGGTGATCCCCAGTGGAAACCCGAGCTTGGTGCCGCGCGTAGGATCCAATGGGCCATTCGACTTGCCAAAAAATGTGCCAGCATCTCTCAGACTATCATGCCGTCGGCGCTTGCACCGCCACCGGCCCCACTTCTATCTGCGCGTCGATATCATCTCGAAATTGGTCAATTTCTTGCCCAACTATCGACAGCGATGCCCACCACCAGGCCAATTACTCTCGTTCCAAGCCTGTTCGGTACAACTGGTGTTCGTCTAACACAACCTACCGGATTCGATTACTCGGCACTTGTCTCACTTCGGCGACAACATCAGACACGACAAGCGGAAAATGGGGTTCGTGTGCGTTCGCAGGCCGAACCAGCATCTGAGTCTGCAAAACGGCAGCTAGTCAAGTCTATGCAGGCTATTCTCAAGCAAACAGAAGCCCGTGGTCTTACAACTGGGGTCGACCGGACGCTGCGCACACAATCTCTAGGGAGTGGTGATCCGAGTTCGACAACTGGCAATGCTGCCAATGCCGCTGCTTCTGCAGTGACTCGAGCAAGAGAAGTACGTACCCCGCTCTTTCAATATCAACTCAAGTGCTCACCGGTTTCAAGGCTCTTCGGAAACGTCGGAAGCTGTTTGCTGATGCCAACGTTGCCTGTCTGAACGAGATTGAAGGCGCGCGGGTGTCTGCAGTACGACCACTTCTCCCGCGCGACTGGGTTCTAGTAGCTGCAGACCTGGTCACCAAAAAAGTATTTGATGTTTATCTAGCGCAAGGTATTTGTCGTTAAGCATTTACTTGCATTGGCACTGACAAGATTCTTCAGTTCTAACACTATATGCACGCGGTGCGGGGAAAAATGGGAAGCACGGCCTTGTCGTCGATGGCGGCAAATCAAATATTGCTGCACTGTCATTCATTGGCGTTCAGCTTTACGAGTTGTCTCCTGCTACCGGTATTTTCCAATCGATTACCCAGCAAACAGTGCACCTTGACACCTCAACATTTGCCCACCTACCCTCCCTCCAAATTCTCACCGTCGTCAAGTCTCCCCAATCATCCCAGACAGGAACTCAGCTCGCCCTTTCCGATGCCGACTTCACCCTCTTTTCTACACTCCGAGGGTCACGCGCCAATATATCGAAGGCGCTCGTTCAAGCCCGAAAGCGCAAGGTTGTCGAGGAGGTCGAGGAGGATGAGTAAACTCACCTCACACAAGCGCCGAAACATCGTTCTTATGTCTAGAGTAATTTTGTAATGATACCAGAAAAAAATGGGACTTTAATACATGTTCGGACAAATTTGGGTCAAATCCAGCCGCTTGTCCGGACACAATTGCTCGTCTGAGGTATCAAAGTTCGAACCCTACTATCGGGGGTCCTACGCTGACTTGCTGGTCCTGAGTCGCTTTGCAGCGCGTTCCAGGACTTTTTCAGTGTTGTCGGGTAGCGGCGGTATGGTTGTAGACTCAGTCTACAGAAAGTTATTGCTGGCCAAGCGGGAAAGAGAGTGTGCACGCACCATCCGTGTTGTCGTAATGTCCTCGCTCCCCAATACGACTACTTGTCTCCCCTCCTCTGTCGCGCTTCATTTTGTTCCTGCTGGTCTATTTTGCACCATCGTTGGTGCTTATCGAAGCAGCAGGAAGACTTGTGTCTGTCACGCCAACGGCAGTAACGGACCGTGGGCTGGGTGTTTGGTCGACTGGTCCTCGATTTCTAGAGGGGCACGGGAGGAAAGAGAAAGACGTGTTTCTGCGGATCACGGCGTTTCACTGTCGATGACATCATAATTTCCCCTCCCACCGCCATTGCCACCCAAACGACCAACAAACGACCCGCAATACCGACTATGTCTCTGATCCGTGTCGAATCTGACGAAGACGACGAGCCTGAGCCAGAGATAGGTGGAGAAGTGGAGTCTGGAGATCTGGTGCGCCAAGCCTAAGCCTGAGCTGGTCACAAGTATGGGATTTTGAAGGGTATGTGGTTGTTGTTGTTACACGGTAATAAAGGTGGTTGATAGGGAAGGCAGAGGGTGGGCTAGCAAAGCAAAGCGTAAGCTGGGCTGAGTCGCAAAAAAGGTGCATCTGCCATCCTTCACTCTAATCTATGACTCGTTTTACATAGTATCCCTCAGTTTCACAACGGGCTGAATAGCCAGCCACACCGAATTTGGTAAAATATCCCTTGAAGTAGAAACTGTTCTAGATTCTGGTAGAATCTAGAACCAAATCAACCTGTGTAGATTTGCCCAGAATATACTTTTTGGAAACTGAGATTGATTTTGGTCAAATATATACTAGTTTTAGCAAGTCTGAAGTGAAAACTATCTATGGCACTGAAACTATGCCTGAAATAGTTCATATCTGCGCGCATATATTTGGTCATGATATCACGCGCATCAAATGTGGCGAAACTGTCAGTGAAATAAAGGATTTCACTAACAGTTTCAGCATGGATGATACAAAGAAAATCAGCAGTGAAGAAATGCACATAGATTCTCTTTGTTTCTATTTGCATTTCTCCACTGCTGAAACTGTAGGTTTACAGTACAATGAAATCATTGTTGAAATCTCAAATTTATTCATGTCAGAAATTGTGATTAAAACTGTCAGTATATATATTGGAGAAATTGTAAGAGATATTGTATGTATATCAGTGACTTGAGGGTCAACCCTCAAGTTAACCCTCAAGTCAACCCCAAGGGTCTAACCTCCGGGTAGACCCTACAAGTTCAGTCTCCAGCTACATATTCAAACACATAATTAGTGTCAATAGGGTAATGACTTTACACAAACTTTCTAATAAATGTTACCAGATTGTAGGAACCCTTAATACATGTTACTATTCAGTTTAGACTTATGTTTCAAAGTCAATGGTTAAGTCAGAAAATGCAAATTACTGACCCAACCCTGAGTTTTCAAAACAGTGGTAGGGCCATATCTCAATGAGTTCTTATCCGTTCTCAACATGTTATATATGAGCAGGAAGGTATTCAATAGGCCTACAAACTGGTATTCAACATAAAGTTCATTGCATACAAAATCACAGACTTTATTACAAAATATATTTTGACTATTAGATTGTTAACCCAATTACTTAATGGTTTCTAGACTTTTCATTAAAAGTTAGATATAGTCAGAAAGGTATTTCAAAGTTCTACAAACTTGATTTCAACCCTGATATGGTTGATTACAAAACCACAGACTTTCACTACAAGTTAAGGTTTATTGAATTAACTTCAAAATTCAAAGTCAACCAAATGACTCCATATTGTATATGGTAGTAGAGCTTCATTGATTAAGTAAGTATTCAGTTCAAACCTATTCAAAATTCATAACCATTGACTCACAGAAGGTGAAATACTCACAAAATATCAACTTTGTTACTTTAGGGCTAGCCTGGCTCAAATAGTATTAGCACTAAATTCCTCTTCCCGTTTACTGCTTACCACTTGTAGGATGGAGCACAGGTATAGCTCTGAGTCTGCTTAACTTGACTCAGACCCTGACTCTGACTCTGACTCTGACCCAGACCCAGACCCTGACCCAGACCCAGACCCTGACCCTGACCCTGACTGTTACAGATAAAGGGCTGCTGGGTCTGAGTCTTGAAAGGCAGACCCTGACCTTAACAAACCCTGCCCCTTCTGGGTATAGGTCCAACCAGGTCTAGGTTGACCTACAGATCACAGATATGGAAGCAGAAAACATGTTTAGAACAATAATCCTTACGCGAACGTGGTCACATTCGTCTCGTTATTGTTACCTCGCCAGAACCAGCAGTGGACAACAGCGCAACAGCGGCGGGCCAGATTAAACAAGAGTGGGAAGCCAAGAATTGAGTGCAGTTGGCGGAGGTGGATATTTCAAGATGGAACCAATCCGCCATCTAGTTTCTCAATCAGTTTCGTGTTTACAAGCAAAGCGTGATAGACGAGGCGCTCTTTATTCTGCCTGGCTTACTGCAGACAGTCAACAGCGGTATTGTTCTGAGGAACAGAAATGCCGAGTATGTTTTTTCCTTGGTCGTCGTTGAATCTAACCCTTTCCAGTAATATTGACTTGCACTTCTAAGACCGCCACTACCTGCTCTTCCCTCCAAGACTGTCCATGCCGACGCCATCCCTGCTTGTGTCATGTTTTCCGTTTGGATTCGACCAAGTTGGCGGTATCGCTGTGGCGCTTCACCCACGATTTCTGTTTGGCGCTGTTGAGCGATTGCAATATCGTACAGCAATGTTATCGTCACCGGTCAAGTCTTTGTCCGCAACCAGCTGAAGGAACTCATTCTGGTTGGCTCAGTCGACTTTGAGCACATTCAACAACATGGTGTCGAGCAAGGTCAACGAGGGCTACACAATGAATTCAACCCCAATTTCATTCCACGCTTCCTCTTAACAACGAGCCTTCCTCGAAGGTCTCAGACGACTTCAATCCCATCCACATCAACCCTTACTTCTCTGACTATGCCTCTCTCCCTGCCACGATTACCCACGGACTGTGGGCCACTCGCCGCTATGTCGAGGCTGTTGTTGCTAAGTGATACCCTGAACGTGTTCTCTCGTATGTTTTTTATGTCTATTTTCTTTCCCTTTCTAATCAATTTTACCCAGCTACGACACTCCTTCGTTAGCATGGCCATTCCTGGTGACAAACTCACGATCAAGATTCGTCACGTTGGCGTTCACAATATTGTCGCCAACATCGCACCGCGACTTCCAACTCGCGTGGTGAAAAAGTGCTCGAAGGCTTGGGCCAAGGCTTCGCCAGTCTGTGTCTTCACTGGTCAAGAGCAAGGAATGGAAATGGACTTGTACAATTTCTCACCTGCTGCTCGTGCCTTTCGGGATGGAGCCGAGACCCACCTGCTTGCGGTCTACGACTTCTGGATCGTCGAGATCGTCAAGGACAACCCGAAGGAGAAGACAATCCATTTTGGTGCTATATGGACATGACATACAACACAATAAACAAGGACGGAAAAACATTTCTCGGACATCGATGTTTGCACGCCCAAGTCCACCAAGTCCACCTTCAGCAAGGTCTGCTTTTCGCAACCCAGTTCGCTCAATCGCGCCTGTCGTCAGGCCGCTTCGCACAGGGACTGCGCGTTTGCAGGTCACAGTATTGGCGAGTCTTCTGCTTTGGCTTCGATTGCCGATGCTGCTAAATCTGAACTACCGCTGCCCCCGTTGCTGCCGCTGTGGCCGCACCTGTTGCGGTCGCTGTCGCCGCTCCTTCTGTCCCAGTCGCAACAATCGATGATGTGCCTGTCAATATCTATCTCGTCAGCGGTGTAAATCTATCTATCGTTATTGTCGGGAGCAGCTGGAGGCAAAGTCAACAGCGAGGAGTTCTTGAAATTCCAAGCCGACCAAGAGACTTTTGCCGCTCAACACATCGAGCTTTACATGCGCTACCTCAAACGGGATTCCCGGGCCGGCGAGACCGCGCTTGACAACGAGAAGGCCAACAGCACAAGGCTGCAGGCCAAGCTTGACCACATCGCAAAGGAGCATGGAGATGTCCGTATCGAGGGTATTCAGCCCATGTTCGACCCTCCCCCCCCCTCAAGGCGGGCCGATGCGACTGGTCCTTCATCAAGATGCCCTTCTCATGTTCTACAACATCATCTTTGGCCATTTAACCACTGTTGATCGTGATATCAGCGCTCCTTGTATTGTGTTGATGAACCGTGCCGATCCCGAGGTGTTTGCTTATATGCAGTCTAACATCGACCAGACGGGACCCGACGAAGAAATTCGGCCAACAACTGGTCGACAATGTCTGCGAGGTTATGGGAAAAGACCCGCTCTACAAAGATGGTTCGTTCAACGGCTCAAACAGTATTAATATTATCCCCCCGTCTAACCTTGTCTATCCAGTCACTTTCCCGACTGCGCCACCGGTGTTTCACTGCCAAGGGTGGCATTGTCTACTCTGAAGTCGTTCGCCAGAATGTTCGTAAACTCGAGGCATATGTCGTCAACGTCGACAAAATTCGGGAGGATGTGCTCAAGGTTGTCAAGCGCAACCGGGCATTAGCCAGGAGCAGAAGAACCGCATCAAGGCCCTCTACGAAGGTGTTGTTTGCTCCCTCTGTAAGACACCCGAAACTCGTCGCACTGGACCGCGTCTTCGCGCCCTCAAGTCAATATTTCGTCTGTCTCGACTGATAAAGTTCCTTTCCCCCTATGCA